ATGTAAGCAGACACAAAGCATTGTGGGAAATGAGAACCATGACCCAAAGCAACAGTCAGCAAGGATGTGTTTATCTGGGAGGGGTGCTGTTGGATAGATCACATGTGTTGTGATTCATTGACAGTCATACCTTCTGCTGTTCAACATAATGATGACTGGTAGATAATTAGTTATTAGTGGTACTGCATTTTAATTTTAGAAAGCGCAAATCTGCTTATGAATTATAAAAATTAGTAAGACCGCTGAAGCGCACATGAAATATTTAGGTCCGCAATTAGCAGATTTGTGCTTTAGCGGACTGGCGCCCACCACTGGGTAAGTATATAAACAACAGTAAGGATGGCTGACATATATATTTTCTCACTATCAGTGTTGTGTTGGATGAAGAGACTGAGGAGGAAAAACCTTTTGTTAACTGTGGCAAAGGAAAAAAGACATGAACATCAGATGCATGTTCACGCGTTCAATGGAATCATCAAAGCTGGTCATCAACCAGCTTCAGGAAAAAGATAATTTTCAACAAAATAACATTCAAAAGGAAGAGCTGCTCAGAGTCGTGCTCTGGTCCATGCTCCACAGCTGCAGTGCTCCTCATGAACAAACACGCCCACAAAGTTCTGACCAATCACATGCTGTGAGCTGCAAGGTATGCATTGCAGAGTTCTGAATGGAGGTAATGCACACAAGAGCAGACAAAGTTACACAATTTTTGTCACTCTCAGAGCGACCAAGACGTGCAACTCTAAGTACAGTATAAACCAGGAGTATGTGTTATCCCATCACCTTAAACTTTTTAATAATAAATGGGTTAAACTTACATAGAGCTTTATCAAATCCCTAATGGCTGCACAGCGCGCTACATTTCCATCATTCACCCACTGATAGACACATTCACCCACTGATAGACACATTCACCCACTGATAGACACATTCACCCACTGATAGACACATTCACACACTGTTGGTGGTAAGCTACGATGCAGCCACATCTGCTCTGGGGCACACTGACACAGTTAAACATGTGGTTTAAGAAGAATGCAGAAGTTCAGTTTCTATTTCTATTTTCTATCATTAATTGCAAAATGGCTGAACTGCATTTTTGAGAAAGCAGTGGGCTACTTGTCGTCTTTGGTGGGTCCAAAGTGTGGAGGTGTCTGATGGCTCCTCACAGGATCTCCAGAGAACCAGGTCAGAGCTCTGGAGTGACTGAAGGAGATGCATTTTGTGTACGTTTGTAGGGTTATTAAGGTCACAGCCTTTTGAGAGCAGATTATAGTCATGAGCTGGATAATGGAGCTGGTGTGTATTGATCTGAACTGGTCTGTGGGGATTCATAATGTGCTTATTATCCTAATGATGAACTGCACAGTGGATCTATGTGAGTGTGTCCCTTTGCACACATGTATACACTTTGGAACAGTGTTAGAAACGTCTGTACTTTACATAATATCTACTTTATACTTTGCTTCTATAAAGACAAACTGTCTTTTAATCTTTTGAAATAGTCTAAATCAAAAGGTCTTGAGGCTTTGTGATGGTCTTTTTAAAGTTTTCTTGTACATATTACTATAGATACACTTTAATTTATAAATTTGCAAAAGTAAAAAGGCAGCACAATTCTTTTAAATGTTTTAGTACGTCAGGTAAAAACTTTTATTTGTCTTCATCAGGGTTTCACCAGTTTCCAAATCAGTTTGATTCTGGATGATGATGTATTCGTTATAAAATAAGACAATTGGAAATTTTGATCCTGAGGCCTAATTAGTCAGGACGCTGTGTGTTGCTTAGCAGATTATGAGTCAACTAAGTAAATACAATGAGTACAGCTTAACTGATTCATTGAACTGGAAATGTCCTATTTAAGGTTTAACGTGGCTTTTTTTTTTTACAGTTTTCCGTGTTTAATTCTGTCTTACAGAACTGGAAACAGATAGCTATTCAACTTGTGTTCAAATACAAAAATAACATAATTTATTATACAAATCTCAAGCTTATTTTTTACCTTTGCGTTTGTCTAACAGCCTTATTGCAATAAAGAAAGTGTGGCTGTAGAAAATACAGATTTGTGCTTGCATTCACACCCTAACCTCCCGCAGAGTTTTCCTACTAGATTTATCAAGTCACTGAAGTTTTCTGGAAAATCTCTTTGACATTGTTCATCTTCAGTAGAGCCTCCTGAGTATAAATATTGGTGTGGCAGACATTCATTTCCTGAATAATCAACTAAATTTTACAATTACCATTGCATTTTCTGTTAAAAAAGATAGGATGATCTTATGGTTGTCTCATGACAACAGTCCAATCTAATATTTAATTCAGAAAAATTAATGCCTTGTGCACCCACATGACCTAAAAGTAGGATATTTTAAATTTTTACTGCTTGAAATAAAACAGAAAGGTACACGGTTTTCTACATTGGATTTCTAATTTGATTTGAAGCAATAGTTGTGCGTTAATACTCCAGATTAATAAAGTTAAATAGGGGGAAATATTCTGTAAAATAATACTAAGAAACATAAAAGTAAAGAAATAATGGTCGTATACATCTTAGCCAATTTTCTTTAACCCCGCACATGCAGAATTATAAGATCGTATCACTAACCAATAACTCATCACTGCCACACACGTCGGCAGAAAAGTGTTTTTTAATCTCTCCACTTTGTCTGCTACAAATGGGGTTTTAAAGGGATCCCCAATTAGTTGTAACATTAGAATTTATTTAATAAACATAAATTTTAACTGTAAAATAAAGACTGTAAAAATACTGTAGGATGTTCAGTTTTTATAATTTTTAAACTAAACGTTTAAAAATATATTTTAACACGGACGGGGCCATTTTATTTCCACACAAAGCATTCTGGGTAAAWGATGACGTGGATAGGTCCTCGGTGCGAGGCTGCTAGCGAGCTATATCCACCCTGAAGGTTWATCTTGGACAATATCTGATGATCGACTCTTTTAAATGAAACCAGAGAGCGTTGACAGAGAGGAGAAGGTAGAAATGACTCAGCCTGGAACTGAAAATATGGATGGAGGACCTACGTTTAGCTTGTTTGTCGTGCTAGCACTGAGCTAATACATATAAGGCAATATAGCGTCAGTGCTAGCACAAAGGCTAACAGGCTAAGCTGAGGTTGTTCTTCCATGAAGCAGCTCTGTTTTCCTCAACTTAGCCTGTTAGCTTTAGCGTTAGCCCCGACGCTATCACCATATATATGTATTAGCTTAGCGCTACACATTCTCCTTTCGTCACTGAGGTCCTCCATCCATATTTTCAGTTCCAGGCTGAGTCATTTCTACCTTCTCCTCTCTGTCAACGCTCTCTGGTTTCATTTAAAAGAGTCGATCATCAGATATTGTCCAAGATTAACCTTCAGGGTGGATATAGCTCGCTAGCAGCCTCGCACCGAGGACCTATCCACGTCATCATTTACCCAGAATGCTTTGTGTGSAAATAAAATGGCTCCGTCCGTGTTAAAATATATTTAAAAAAATGTACAAAACTAAACATCCTACAGTATTTTTACAGCCTATATTTTACAGTAAAATATATGTTTATCAAATAAAGTCTAATGATACAACTAATCAGGGATCCCTTTAAAAGAATATCTCAACAACTGGACACAGCAAGTTTTGCTGCAGCTATTCCTGCATTATAAGCTAATGTGAGGTCCACAGTTAGCACTGGTCATATCACTGTATTAAAACCATCTGAACACAACTCAGACAGCTGTAAAATATTTTATGTCTCATTCTCTGTTGGAGCTGCCTGTTCTGATTACTGCCAAGAGGGGTACCACACCATAACTGTAAATGTCACAATCTGAAATGAATCACTTAAAACTGACCAAAAAACAGAACCAGACCAAAGCAATGCACAGTAAATAATTAATTTGCATTATGTTTTAAGACTAACTACACCCCACCTAGACTTGTGGACCGTTCAGTTGTGTGTTTTGTTTGCCTGCAGGGTTCAGCAGTCGTCCCCGGTACCTGAAGGTGTTCATCAACCCCAGCAGCCACAAGAAGGAGGCCATTCACATCTACAGAGAACATGTGGCTCCTCTTTTTAAGATGGCTGATATTCACACTGACATCACAGGTTTGAAGATGCGTCTGTTTATTTACCTACAAAAAAAAACCATTGGTTCATAGTTTTATTTGTTTTTGCCATCTGTGTTGTGTAAAGATGGTACAACCATTGTGTTTTTATGTCAAACAATATGACTGAAATCTGTGCATGTGTGTGCTTGCATGTTCAGGTGCAAAGGTCAGAGCTAATGGCAGTTTTTAGTCTCTAGGTAACCTGATACAGGGGGGCGGAGCTTAACCCATCTGTTGCGACAGTGGGAGACAACTTCCTGTCTTCACATCTCCTCTTCTGTGATTCCTCCTCCCCTCTTTTCTGTTTTCTCCCCTCAGCTCCTCTCTCATGGTTACTCTTCTCATCTCCCTCGTCCCGGCAGATGGTGTGATATCCGTTGTCCCACTTTTTTTGGCAGCTATCGAACACATGCTTGTGTTCCTCTGACCACACACATGCAGGGACATTTATCTTTATCTCAGTGTCCCTCCATCTGTTTACCTTGTCTTTTTCCCTTTTTCTTACTCTTTCTGTCTTTACTTGTCTTTCTCTGTCTGTTTCCAGTGACTGAGAGGAAGGGCCATGCTCTCTCAGTGATCCAGGAATGCAAACTGGATAAATATGATGGGTTAGTTTCTTCTCTATTTTTACTCCTTTTTTCCCTTTGTTTAAAAGATTGTTTGGAAACTGAAGCATCCTTTAAAAAGAAAAGTTTATTTTTCAGCCATAACTTCCAATGGGATCTAAATCCAAAACATGTTGGTAAATACAACACCTTGTGACACGATTTGTTGTGTGGAACCCAAAATGCAGACAGACACAAGGACTTGAATGCAAACAAAACAGATTTAATAATTGACAAAAGAAAAAGGCTGATGTGGCAGCAAAAATACAAAAGACAACATGGACAGAGACGAGGCATGAAAGGCAATGATCCAACAGGGTAATGAAGACATGACGCCGGTTAAATACAACTGAGGMTGATTGGGAGAGGAAACACCTGGGTGATTACAGACTATGGACAGGTGAGTGAGGCAGGCTGCAAAAACACTAAGAAGCTACTGAGGATAACATGTTACAGGAAATGGAGAAAACTAACAGGAAATAAGAAAATAAGACAAGATGACCAAACAATGAAACAGAAAAATTCTAACAACAACCATGAAACAATGATCATGACACCTTGGGTTTTAGTCATCAGTGTATGTTATGTGGAGGCTTAATCGTACTGATTTTTATCGTTACAGAGGATTAAATTGTTTTAAAAATATTTGTATGTTTTTAAAATATTTATTATTACCTTTGCGGGGTTATGTTTTTGGTGGTGTTGGTTTGTTTGTCCATCAGGTGGGTGGAGCATTCAGAGCTCTACACCACAGCAAACTTCGTCTGTGCCATAGACCTGGATGCCATTGAGAGTCTACCAACTACACAAGATATATGAGTAGTCTAGCATCCAGTAACTGATCAAACCCAGTGACAGCCTGGCCTCAGAGAAGGTTCAGTTCAGTTCAGTTTATTTATATAGCGCCAAGTCACAACACACGTTGTCTCAGGACACTGTACRTAAAAAGAACAATGTAAAGAAGAAAGCAGCAGATTGTGTTGAATCACTTCATCACAGTCTCCCATCCTGAGCAAACGGTGGAGAGGAAAAACTCCCTGCTAATCAGGAAGAAACCTCCAGCAGAACCAGGCTCAGGACAGGAGACCATCTGCCTCGACCGGCTGCTTGGAGGACAGGAAAGAGACACAGACAAACACAGAAGAATTGGTCCAGGACTGGTCCAGGTGCACCTTCTTCTGGAAGAGACAAAGAAAGAACATGATAGAAATAATWAVAATAAACATGTAGAGAAGGTTCCAAGTAATGATGCCATGCCATCTGACCTCATAAAGCAATGTAAGACAACACTCCTGCTGTCTCTTTATGAGCTGTTATGCAGGTGCAGGAAGGTGTCTTTCCACAGGACTTGCAAGATGCCAGAATCATCACCTCTATAAGAGCAAAKGTGACAGGAGTAACTGTTAAAACTATAGGTGGATTTCACTGCTGAATACAGGCAGCAAGGCATTTGCAATGGTTTTACTGGTTCATCTACAGATGCTCGCTGAACTTGTCCATCCAGAGTTCCAGTACAGCTTTCGTGCCCACAGGCCAACCCTGGACACGATCTTTCACCAGTTATGCTGGGTTCAGATGAACGCATTGTCAGGAGCGTCAGGTTTACATGAAAGTCGGTGGTGGACGCGCGTCTAGGGGTGTCAAGAAACCTCACAGTGTGCCTAGCACGTTTTGCAGCAGTAKTTGTTTGAGCATTTGACATGCATTYGTGAAMTTTCACAGCTCGACGCGGAGCGTCAACCAATCAGAAAGRCTCTGTTATGTGACATAGTGGTGCAGTTTCAAACAACATGGTTTCCTGAATGTTGCCCACTAGCCTGAGACAGATGGACAGGAGCTCTTCAGCTGAAATTGAGTACCTACTGTATGTATGGGATAAATCTTGTGCCAGCAGGAACTGAGTTTGAATTCCTCAGATTCAATCTGAATRTCATTAATTTGAAATTGAATGCATTGGTTTGAAAATGAATTTCACTAAATGGAAACTGAATTTAATGGTTTGAAACTGAATTTAAAATTTAGAATTTGAATTAATTCGATTTAAAATTGTATTTTGTTCAATAAAAAAATCATTTTGACTACTTTCAGTTCTAAAATTCAGATTTTTGTGTCACATCCTGGTCCTTGAGAAAGCCAGCCAGAGTAATCAAACACAGATCCACAGATTTATGTTTCACTTTGGTGAAGTTTCCCTTCTGGATGTAACAGAGTTGATGCAATCCACTGTAAAAGTGACAAAAACAAAGTTATTTTATTGCTGTGATTAATTTTACATATAGACAAAGTTACACTTACATCACATCATGGCTCAGTCAGCAGCAGCATCTGATCAATATCTGCCTGCAGCTGGGAGAGACGCTGTAAGGACTGATCTGTCTGTTAGTGCTTTGAGACCAGGGAGGAGCTCAGCAGCAGCTCTTGGAAGAGCTGTGTTCATGTCAGAGTCCCTGCGACACACCTGAATTGTCAAAYATCACTCTGTTCGGTTCTGCTCACAGGTGGAGGTGTGTCTCCATGGCTCAGTTGCAGTAGGGGGTCTAAAGCCTGCATGCCTGTATGGTCGCTCGGCTGTCGACCGGTCGATGCGCCGTCACATGGTYGTTCTGCGTTTGTTTTCACACTGACCTTTCATAGTTCCTGAGACACCCTGAGCCGAGCTGCTGGGAAAGCCCTCCTGCTCCAGCATACGTCACTGCATGGGATTCCTTCCCCGGGGAGTGCAATGCAGGGAAAAAAAAGTCCATGGCTCTTCACTCGACGTTGTTTTTTCACAAACCGGTCCCGTTTAAGCTCCAAAGTTTTTATCAGTCAGATTCCACCGTGAAAAATGTCTGTTTTATCCTCTTTTATGAGTTTTTGACCATTGACTATCTTTAAATCACTGCTTCCTGGTACAACAGTCGGCTCTGGAAGCGATCGCTTTTTTCTTCTTTTTTTCCTTTCTTTTGTTGAAGCGAGTGGTTGAAGCAAATGCAGCGTCTGAGCGCCTTCAGCACAAACAAAAGTCCCATGAACTTCTGACCAATCACACAGTTAGTATGTGTTCTTATGTGGAGGGGGGTGAAAAGTTCGACCGGCGGGTTGCGACAAGAAATGTCGAAATGCTGACAATGCGAACAGAAGTGACGCAATTTTCGTCATAAAACTGCGACAGTTCGGCACGATTTCGGCAGTTCGGCAGCAGCATGCAGGAGCTTTAACAGACAGATCAGTCCTCACAGCGTCCCTCCCAGCTGCAGGCAGATACTGATCAAACAGCTGCTGCTGACTGATTCAATGTGGGATGTAAATGTAACATTAGCTATAGGTAAAATTAATCACTGCAATAAAATAAGTGTTTTTTTGTCTCTTTTACAGCAGATTGTAWCAACTCTGTTACATCCAGAAGGAAGCTTCACTGACATGAAACATAAATCTGTGGATCTGTGTTTGATTACTCTGCCTGGCTTTCTCAAGGACCAGGATGTGACACAAAAATCTGAATTTTAGAACTGAAATTGAAAGTAGACAAAATGAAATTTTAATTGAACAAAATACAGTTTCAAAGCAAATTAATTCAGATACAAAATATTAAATTCAGTTTCCATTTAGTGAAATTTATTTTCAAACCAATGCATTMAATTTCAAAAATGCACGTTCAGATTGAATCTGAGGAATTCAAATTCAGTTCCTGCTGGCACAAGATTGATCCCGTACATATAGTTGGTGTCCTGGCAGGAGGTTTAGGCACCGATGTGAGTCAGTAGCTCGTCAAACTGACCACAGTGTCAAATCGAGCTGGGGACAAAAATAGAGCAGAAAGCGAGCGTTGTCAGCATGCAGCTCCTGGAGTGGTTAAACTCACCGAACTCACAATGTCTCAACAATATCTGGTGAATTAATTATCTGGTGAGCACAACATGCTCTTGCTCAGTGAAGCGTGTTTATTTTTTTTTCCCGCTCTCAGAGGAGTAAGACACTTCCTTCCCTCTCTTCTGCCCTCCCTTATCTTCCCTGCTTCGCTGCTTGGGAGCCTCCTACGTTTTCCTCCGAAACCAGAAATTATGGATATTTTTATTTTTATGGATTTGGTTATCTGGTCTCTTAATAAATGTTTGGAACAAAATTTTCTTCCATGGGAGGACATGTCAAAGGTGGGACCTCTGTTCTGCTCTGTTCTGGATATATATCTGATCACTGGATTCTACAGATTGGCTTGGTGGTCTCCTGGTGTTCTACAAAACAGCATTGGTGGCTATTAATTTCCTGGCTTCCTGACCAATACGAAGGATTGCCTTCTATCAACACTCAGACTTTTGCCTTGAGCGAGCTGGGACTTGGTCTGCAAGCAGTTCTGCAGAGGGTCGCGGGCCGGCTGTGGTCCCTGGACTTTACTGGCCAGATGGAATTGATCTTGGAGAAGCTGATAGCAYGACTCAACAGAAYTTTTCCACACYGTATGATTGGATTCGCCACACTGGATGTACCAGTGGACATGAAGGCAGATGAAAAATTATTGTCTGCCTGGCTCAAAACATTCTCTTCTGTTCCCAAACAACTGATTACAGACTCATTCTTCAGATATTCACACAAGTGCATACAACATTCATGGCTTCAGATACACGCCCTCTAAACTGACTTACTCTTCTGGCTAATAAATATGCTCTATGCAGAGGTTTTTTTAATAAGCACCATAGTGTGTCACCTTTTGTTGATATAATATGATGTTTTGTTTTGTTTTTTCCTTTTTGGTTTTCTTTTTCTGTTAAAGGTAGCGCAACTCTGTTGCTGCATGACTGGTTCACCTGTTCCCCCATGTTTGTCATGTATGTCTTCTTGAATGAGTGTTCTTAACTGCACCCCTCAATTGCATCCACCATATACAGTACAGAGACGTGCAGAGTAAAACAACCAAGAGGCTCTTCCCCAGGGCGTGACGAGCGTCTGATCTAAAAGTGCACAAGCGTTCAACTCGAGACGTTGGGCGTGTTTCTGACACTCAAAATGTGTTTGGTCTGAAGCTAGCATTACAGGAAAAATGCTGCAAGCAGCAAAATACCCTCTACATGGCCTTCATTGGTCTTTGACCTTGTAAGTCGTCAAGGACTATTCCTGATTTTACCCGATTGGCTTCCCACCCAAACTGCAGAATATAATCCAGTCCTTCCATGAAAACATAAAGGAAAATGTGCAGTTTAATGGAAACTGCTTAGTTTCCTTTTACATACATTTTGCTATGCATGTAAAACATGGGTGTGTACTTGCACCCACATGCTTTGAAGTCTTGTTGGCCTTACTTATGCAACATGTACTGCTACAGAAGRCATCTACTAGGTCAGATGACAGACTCTTGAATTTGGCTCGGCTCTGAGCCAGGACCAAGGTAATGGAGACTATCATCAGAGACCTGTTGTTCATATTTGAWACAGCAGTTACCACCCACACACAACTTCTTCTTCATGGCCTTCACTGAAGACATCAGTGAGAGATAAAGGCTTTCTGCAACCAAACATAGGAGTCAAAACCAGCAACTTTCTAATTTATCATTTTACATCCATCTGACTCATSTTCTATTTCAAAACAAAATGTTCACATAAACCAACATGCAGAAGCATTTACACAAAAACAAAACTCCTGGAGTAAATAAATTTAACAATCAGATATTTTTTCTTTAGGTTTTGGACATGACAGCCTGTAATGATTTCAGTGTCCTTCACTGCACAGTCACTAGGTTCAGGCCATATCTAAATAAAAAATAAAGCCAAAAAAGTGTAAGTCAAATAAAGCTGCTGACCAGCTGGTAATAATGCAGTTAGAAACAAAGTCTGCATGAGTTAAATGGTAATGAAAGGAAAAACCTTGGTCTTCAAGAGGATAAAAAGGGGATGGGGGGGATGGGGGGCATGGTTCCCCTATTGCCCTCCTGTCCTGAGCCTGGTTCTGCTGGAGGTTTCTTCCTGATTAGCAGGGAGTTTTTCCTCTCCACCGTTTGCTCAGGATGGGAGACTGTGATGAAGTGATTCAACACAATCTGCTGCTTTCTTCTTTACATTGTTCTTTTTATSTACAGTGTCCTGAGACAACTTGTGACTTGGCACTATATAAATAAATTAAACTAAACTATTTAGGTATAATAGGACCTCATAAATATAGAAACATTGTTTTTTAACAATTAAAAATTAAAAAACAATTCATATTTTGCTTAAAATAATAAATAATAATAATAATAATAAAATGTGGCTCTGAATAAAGCCTACACACTCCCTCTGAACTGCTGAAATTTATTTGGATTATTGCAGTTTCATGATGAAAATTACGTMATCCATGTTTTCAGTGTCAAATTGGCCACCCCTTTTGTCACAACCCACCCGCAGAACTTTTTGCTTCCATCCACAAGAACTTATTGTGTGATTGGTCAAAAGTTCGTAGGAGTGTTTGTTAATGTTGAAAGGACAACCATATTAACAGCAGATGTGTATTTCCACCCCCCATCTATTCCTACC